GTGACTGAACAATGCTGCAGAGTGGCTACGGCCATTGACTCTTAAGCTAGACCTGCCTCTTCATTTTAGCTCTCTAACCTTGGGTAAGTGAGGTAGCTTCTCTGAACCTCAGTAATCTCATCTGAAAAATGAGAAAAGAGTACCTCATCCATTCATTGCTGTGAGTCGTAAATAAAACCATAGTAAAATCCTCAGGAGAGTGCCTGGTACAAAGGAGATGGATTCAAAATATGGCTGCTTTTATTAAAAATGACTATTAATTCTCTAGATATGACCTCTATAACAACATTTGCATCACTGTTATATTTTTCATTTTAGATTAGAGTTTACATGGAGGCACTTTTTCTAAGTTTGGGTACGATTGCTCATTAGGCTGGTCCTAGATAAATATAATCCAGTTTTAGTGTCAACGATTTCTTGCCTAGTTTTCCACAACCCTTTTCTTTCTGTCACCCTCTCACTCTGATAACTGATGCACAACTAGGTGCTCCTCCCCTTCCTTCTCTCTCTTCTACCTACTTGCTCTTCAGCCCTCTGGCCTGCATGAGATTGGGGTTACGTCTTGGTTCCTCTTTGGAAAGGAAAGGGTGATGTCCACTCAGTATATAGGAGATGAGTTATTACCCTAATTCATTCATGTGTTAGCTGGGTGACTTTGGACAAGGCACTTTCCCTGTGAGCCGCAGGTTTTTTTAATATTTAAAGCTGATGAAAGAAAGTGTTGATTCTTCCCATTTCTAAGATTCATTCTCTTTTCTGTAATGTAGTATTCATCTTGAGATGTGTGATCAGGTGCCCATGGCTTTGTCTTTGTTCTGGGTTTCCACTGTGTTCCTAAGTAATGCTCCATAGCACTGCACTCCAAGCCAGCCCGACTGGCTAGGTAGTCTTCCAGTTCTAGGATCCCATCCAGATCACCACATTACATTTAGTTATTGCTGTCTCCTTAGGCTCCACTTGTCTGTGACATTTTCTCACACTTTCCTTTTCTTTGATGACCTTGACAGTTTTGAGGAATATTCATCAAGTATTTTGTAGAATGTCCTTTGATTGGGATTTGTCTGGCGTCTTTCTAATGATTAGACTGAGGTTGTGGGTTTTTTGGAGGAAGATCACAGAGGTAAAGAGCCATTCTCATCACATCATCTTAGGGGTGCCTGCTATCAACATGATTTATGACTGTCGATGTTAACCTTGGTCACCTTGCTGATGTAATGCTTTGTTTGTCAGGTTTCTCCACGTAAAATTACTCCCTCCCTCCCTTTCCTTACTGTATTGTTTGGAAGGAAGTCATTATGCACAGGCAATGGAAGTTTATTTTTTATTCACCTCACTGTCCAAGGTGGGTATTTCAATGGCTGTTGTCTTTTCTTCAACAGTTATTCAGAGACCAAGCATTCTTCCGTTCTGTTGCTCCAACACCCCCTAGGGCTTTGTCATCTTAATCCAGTCAGCATTAAGGAAAAGAGAATGTGGAGGAGAGTGTTTGCTTTTAAAAAGCCTTGGCCTGCAAATGGCACACATCACTTTCACTTACATTCCATATGACACTCATTCATCTGCCAAACCTAACTGCAAGGGAGGCTAGGACATATGGTCTAGCTGGGAGCCCAGGAAAAAGAGGAAATGGATTTGAGTGAAATGCTAGCAGTATTTGCCACACCACTTTGGAGCACAAAAGGTAGTAAACCAATGCCTCCTCCCCCACCATCTAATAATATAGCCATCAGTTCATAAAAACACAAAAAAATGGAAGAACATAATCTTAGAATCAAAGGGAGTCATATAAATTGAAAAAAAATAGCTTAATAAAAAACTTATTCCATTGACTCTCTTTTTATTAATTATAGTGTTGATCTGTGAATGTTTTTTGAGAACAGGCACTTACTTGCATGTCTGCATTTGAAAACCTCTGCCTTGTATTCTCTCTGTACCAGACTCTTCATCGTCCTCAGAGTATGCCATGTTTTTCTGTCTGGAACGCCCTTCCGCTGGTTTACTTGCCTAAGAAAATCCTACTCATTCGTCAAGTGACAGATGAGGTGCCTTTGCCCAGCCTCCAGACAGAATAAGTCTCTTGCTCCTTGGGGCAATCACACCATTCTGCTTCACCCTCTCTCATTTACCAGCTATCCCACTCTAGCGTTATATATAAATGTTTCATGCATTAGATTGGGTGCTACCCGAGGAGAGCACAGGCTTTATTCATCTCTTAAGACCCCAAGCATAGTCTGACTAATATAACATGTGTGTTGGTTGCATATACCCACGATACTAGACGGACTAATTTTTTAGCCTCTTTCTTTAAAATACAGCACAACTTGCTTTTTCCCTCCCTAATTATAAAAGAGATCCTCACTTACGATAGCCAAGCCTTCATGGAGGAGGTGATCTTGAGGTGAGCCTGGAAAGGCTGGTAGGGCTTGATAGATGGTAATAGAGGTACAGAAAGTTAGGTAGGTTTTACAGTTTTCTGTGACCCATCTTAGGTTCAGGGCATTTGTTCAGTAGATGCTCACGTCTCCTTTGAGACTTCTGTAGGGCAGCACATTCACTTTCATAGATCATCACGTAATTAAAACTCAGACTCTCAGTTTGTTCTGGCACTGCTCTGAGTGGTGCAGGTTGGTATAAAAGTCTCATGCTCATTATCCTGAACGGGAGTTACTAACTTGAATTCCCAGGACTCCAACAGGGGGATGGCTTCACCATGGTGAAAGAAGTGTTTAATTACAGATACAGAAAGAGGAGCATGAAGAAAACAAACAATCATTTGAAGGCTTTAATGACTAAGCTGCCATGCATCTCATTGCTAATGAAAACATAACTTCTTAAAGTGACTGTATCGAGCTTATTAGAAGTAAAATATGAATTATAAGACAGTTGCCCCTTTTCTTTCTTCTTTCACTTTCTATCACCTACGTTTAGCCCACTGTTTACTCTAGTGGCTTTACAAGCTCAATCAATATTTTACTAAAACAAAAGCCAGGAGTAGAGTCTGTTCTCAGAATCCTCCCTTTACCTCACTTACACTGTTTTCTTGATTTTCATAGTGGAAACATTAGAATTAGGACTTATATTTTTATGGGGTCTTCTAGTTCATACTATCACATTCTTATTCACTTGAAATTCTCAATGATTATAGTGAAGGTTGGAATTATTTTTTCTCATTATACAGATACAAAAACTGAGACTCAGGTGTTAAATGACTTGCTCAGGACCATACAACATTTGTGGCTCAAAGCTGGGTCTTCCAACTCCGAATCTACAGCTGAGAGTGCAACATCAGAAGCTGCCTGTCAGCCAGGGAGCCTCCTGGCAGGGGCACACAGAATGCTGTTTGCAGTAGGTTAGCTAGCTGCGTGTTTCTCTGACACGTCCCTGGCAGGTGGGATTGGATGAGTCCATGGAGAAAATGCACTGAAGATGAATCCTTTCCTATATTTCCTCACTGCTCGGGCCAGAGGGTTCTAATCTGCTCAAGGGAATAGAAACTCATAGGAGAGACCTAAAGATCATTTATTTAATTTAACTTTCAGGTATTATTGATGAGGAAATTAAGACCTGCAATTTAAAAAAATTGAATGTATTTAACTTACGAAGATAATACAAAGCTATTAATCAGGATGCCTAATTTCCAGTTCAGATCTTTTGTCATTACTCTGCTTCCTCATTCTCAGTTTTCTTGGCATCTCTTTTGCTTCTTAGGACTACGTTGAAGATGTGTTGATAGAGGCATTGCCCCATTTTCTCAAATATGTGTGATGAAGTCATATGTGCAAAAGTCCAACCATAGACATATGTTACAGGGAATAGGCCCATTCCCAAAGAATTAAGCATATCACATGTTCAGCTAGAAAGCTCTTTTAAACCTAAACATCAATAAATGTGTTCACCTTAACACACAGTGCCCAGCTTATTGCCTGGCAGAAGAAAGAGATTCTTAGTAAATATTGATTGAATAAATGGATGAAAGATAAAATGATTGTCCTTCTAAGTATACCATGTTGCTACTTCAGCAATCATGATTTCCATCTTTGCTTCAATTTTTATCACTAGAAGCAGCATTTTTCCTTTTCTACTCATTTTAATGAAATAATTAGGGCTATAAATGCACTAGAATAGTTAATTTTTTCTCAACAATAGAGACAAAAGATGGAGATACTGTGGAAACTAGATTGTTGCTGGCAGCCTCCACCACAAGGAGAAAGCTTTAAACATTTATTTTAGCTGATGTACAAAAATTCAAATGTGGCATAAAAAGGTTAGTTTGATGGTATTCGTGAGTAGAGAGTTTTTAAAAGTTGAGGACTACTTCTAGTTTGAAATACTTAGAGAAATATGTATGACTTGATGTTTGCTTTTATTATTATTGTTGTTATTATTTTTGTGCTGCAGAAATGGCTTTTGTAGTACTGGGGCTTCTTTCTGGTGAAGCATTTAGTGAAGATGAAATCTGCATTTTCACGTACTTTCCAGTGACATCTCATGGCCATGGGAGGTTTTGCTTTGGCCTGTGGTTCTCATCCAAGCTATTCTTTCTGGCTGAACTGGATCAGAATTTTAAAATTCAGGAGTTTCTGATGGATAGCTGACATACAGCAGAAATAGATATCTTTAAGGACCTGATTATGACTGCGGGAAGCTTGGGAATTACAGTGGCACTTTGGCCTAAACAGTGATTCTGGAATGGGACTATAAACTTGGTGATGTCTTGCCGTCAATCACCAGATGCACAAGGGAGGGAAATAATTCACTTTTTTAGCACACCTCTGTATTTTCTTAATCATAAGTAGCTTTTACTTATTTGCATTTGTTTTATTGCTGCAAAGTGTTAACGCTCTGCCTCTAGAAGGAAAAAATAAGTAGAGATATGTTATTTCAATATTTAAGCCATTAGCATTTATGCGTTTACTTATAGAATGGTTTTAACAATTTGCAAGTGTGCATATTTTTAAACAAAATAAAAATTTGAATAATTATTTCATTTTGTTTTGCAGAACCCCAGCTGAAGGGAATTGTGACAAGGTTATTCAGCCAGCAGGGATATTTCCTGCAGATGCACCCAGATGGTACCATTGACGGGACCAAGGACGAAAACAGCGACTACAGTAAGAAACGTTAACTTCTTGCAATCTGATTCCAAATCAAATGTATGGCTCAGTGTATCTTATATTTAAAGCATGGCCAGGCTATCTTTTGAACTTTTAACTCTTAGTAAGTAGTGTCTTCTTTTATCCTTCTTGCTATGATTCCCTACAGCTAAGAGGCAATGTGGGAGAGAAGTCATGTACTAAAAGAGAAGGGGTAGGAGGCTTGAAGGTTTTCCAGTTGGTCAATAGACAAGGATATGCTCCCATTGAAGTGTTTTTAGTTAGGATGATGATAATCCCTCATAGTAACAATACAGATCTTCCAGCACAAAATGTTATTTAAATCCTGGAACCAAAAAATGAACAGGTTATAATAATTCTCAGAACATAATTTCTGGAAGACAAAAATTACTTCTAAAGATGAACATTGAATACATGCATATGTATATTATATGTTATTTTATTTTGATTAAGGGCAAAATTACTAATTTTGAAAGAAAAATGTATTTAAGTATAATTATATTTTACAGTATATATAATAATAAATAATATGAATGAAGACTGGTAGACTTGAAACAATTTTTAAAATAATTTTTTGAAATAAAAGTGCTGAGTATTAAAAGATTAATAACAATGTTGCTAGTTTTTATCTAATTTAAATTTGAGTTGATGAGTTCAATAACTAAATGCAATCATCAAGGTATGATGCAGTGTATTTGCATTTTAGAAAACATTTCAAATACAAGCTTCAGAGGCAAAAATGATATCTCTCATATCTTTCAATTTCTGCATAATCATATACAGATACCTCAGGGCAAATTCATGTTATTCTAAAACTAAGGAGGATGCCATATTGTTTCCTAAAGTTTGTCTGTATTCACTGCTAGATCTGTAGTGTTGAACACACAGTAAGTACTCATTAAATGTGTGCAATTAAGTTGTGATTCTGATGGATGTGATTTTGTTATCAGACTGACATTCTACCAAACTGTATAATGTAATCTAGGAAGCCTGATATCTCATTAATCTTTTAAATTAATAAGAAAGATTTGAAGAAATATTCAAGATCCCTAATGTGTGAAGGTCTTCTTGTCAACCCCTCTAAATTATCCTTTCTTCACTTAATATTACACACTACAAAGTATGATTTACAATAAAGAAAAGATCTTATTATGAAGAATTTCATCCCAGTTTTCTTGCTCTCAGTTTTTACAAAGTAGTTGATTGACTTATTGCGGTTTGCATTGTGGTTTGTGTTTGTGTGAATGCATTCTGTAAATGATTCAGGTTTTCAGCTCAGTACAGAATGATGAGGATGCTTTCCTCTCCATGTGGGATTTTCATTATTGCGTCTGAACTAAATGTAGATTTAGTGAAGCTACAAATATAGATGGAAAGAGTCAGATAATTGCTTAGTTGTGTCACTTACCTCTGCTAATTCTAGATCTCAGTTTCTTTATGAAATGAGGTGGCTGGAGATGATGATGATATCAATATCCTTTGTCAGCACCATCCATCCAATATAAAAAAACTATCGAAAAGTTATAAATTGATGAAGATAGATTCAATCCTCAGGTAGCCAGATGGCATACATGGTTCTACAGAATGCTGTCTCCACCCAGCCAGGTGTTCCGCAGATGCATGACATTTATCATGGGGCGAGGGTAGAAGGGTGGGAGCGCATGTGTGAGGTCAAACTGACACAAATCCTACCTTCATTGTTTGTAGGAAAATAATTAAAAGTGTTTGCTGATGCTGGGTCAACCGCTAGTGTAAATCTACACCCACATATACATGTATACATTTATACACATGTACATATATGTATATCAGCATAAGGGCATTATGCATACCACATACATATATACACAAACATACACACACACCCCAAAGGTGATATATTCTGTCAAATATGTGCTTTTAGAAACTGTCTTAATTCACAAATTTAAACTATCTAGTTTTTTATTAAGATAAGCAACTCACACACTTTTCAATAAATTGTTAATAAAATGGTTTAGATATACAAAATATAAAGAGTAATATAAATTCACCTGGATACCCACCATCAGCTTAAAAATTAATTAAGAACATCAGTACATTTGAACCCCTTGTGTAATCTCTCTGATGAAATCCTGCTTTCATTTGTTCCCAGACATAAAACTGTCCTGAGTTTGACGTTTCTTATTTCCATGTAGTTAAAATTTTTTTTTCATATATGTGCATTCATATAATAATATTGTTTTGCATATTTTTTAACCTTTCATAAGTGAGAGCATTGTCATATATATCTTTTATGGACTTTAGCCCCAGTAGTATGGTTGCGAGGTCTGTATATGGTAATACATAATACTTGCTTTATTTAATTTATTTTTGTAAAATATTCTACTGTATGAATATACCCAAATGTATTTATCCATTCTCATTTTGGTGAATAATTACTATTTCTATTTTAAGGCAATTCCAAACAGTGCTGCTAAGATCTTTCTTAAAGATGTTGAAGAGGCCTTCCTAGACCATCCTGTAAAAAATTGTACTTCTCACCTATGCACTCTTATTCTGATACCCTGCTTTATTTCTATTTATAGCTCCCAAGACCATCTGACATATGTATTGTTGCTGTTTATTTGTTTATTTTTGATCTTCTCCCCCAGGAGAATGTAAATTTCACAAGTGAAGAGATTTTTGTTTTTGATCCTTCATGTATCTTTAGAACCTAGACTGGTCTCTAATACGTAGTAAATACTCAGTACAAATTGAATGAATGAATGGATGAATGTCTCCTTGTGAATATGTGCAAAAGTTTCTCTAGGTCATTGGCTAAAACACTTCTGCCTGCCTACATATTTTTTAACTTTTTCTTTTGAAATCATTTTAGACTCTAGAAAAATTACAAAGTAATATAACAAGCTCCTTTGTACTCTTTACCCAGCTTCCTCTAATGGTATCATTTTACATAACAACACTACAATTATCAAAACCAGAAAATTAACACTGGTATGATACTATTTACTGAGCTATAGTCTTATACAGATTTCACCAGTTTTTCAACTAATGTACTTTCCTCTGACACTCCTCCCCCATATTTTAATAAAAAATTTCAAA